GCAACGAGTTACACAATCTCACCATTTTGGGGGCCAAACAATCTCCTTTTTCAAAAGATACTGCGGGGGAGCTCTTTTAATGCTAATAAGCTGGTCAGAAATTCTCACTTGAATTAGTGGTCTGCACCCCTATGGGCGCGAGTGCAACCTGCAAGGCTTGTAAATTAGCGCCCTCTTTTGACGGATTACACCGGAATCCTGGAACTCTGCTTTTCGCGGGTGCCCTGTCCAACATAACACCGGTTACACGACAAGATATACGTGTCGACCTTTTTTCGTGTGGAAGGGGTTCGTGTAAGTTTGTGGATTGTGAGAGAGACCGGAGTGAATCTGTTAAATTGTTCTTTATATCAATCAATCTTATAAATTCACTCATTTTATAGTAAAGATGAATAATTGAGTGTCCTGCCCATGGGTTTATTTTCGTATATTGCACTATGCACAAATCACAAAATAGAACAGAACGTACATCCATACACACCGCTGCCTAATATGCAAAACAAGCTGTGCAGTTGTCTATGACTCCCGACTCTGCGACATAAATAATGTTCCACAGTTTTCCATTGTAAACTTGATTAATTTTTATTCCAACTTTGTGTGAAGTCGATATGTAAAATGAGCTTGACGTCTTGCACTACACCAAATACGGGCCCATAGAAAACAGTGGAAAATCAGACCGAAATAGCTCCGCCTGTTGACTGTCGGGTAGACCCGTAATGTTTTTATTGATATTAATAACGGGGCCCGACGAATACTCCTCTTTCGAAAAGTTTTATCCGGGACATCCGGTGGCATAACTTAACATCTTCTTGATTTTATGAGGTGAAATTGCACCGGTTTGTTCTCTACTTACAGTTTAAACTTTCTGCTAGGTTGCTAATTGCAGAAAACTTGTCGTTTTCTTGTTCGGAGGAAAAAATGTTGCCTTTTTTGCCGTTTTCCCACTCCGGACAAATTTTGTCCCACTTGGACAAAACTGAGGGCTGTTTCGTCACTTTCGTGTCACGTCACAGAGAGCGATCCATGCTACCCATGATTTGCTGCAAGCCGTGTGTGACTGGACAGGGAACCAGCCAAGGGCGTTGCATATTAGCTGCGACACAAAACAGCCGTGATTAGATCGACAGGTTCTCTCGCAGATCTGAACAAAATTCGTAAGTGCTGAAGTCTGGGTGCTAATTAGACAGGCACTCGTACAGGCTACCATTAACCATACAGAGCAGTCTGTGTAATGTACAAGTCCGGCCAAAATTTGTTCGGGGTAAGAAAACAGCAAAAAAGGCAACATTTTTTCTTACATATGAGAAAAAGGTGAGTTTTCTGCAATTAGCAACCTAGCGGAAATTTTACCCCGTAAATAGTGATCACACTGGTGCAATTTCAGCTCATAAAATCAAGCGGATGTTTAGTTATGCCCTCGGATATCCCGGATGAATCTTTTCGAAAGAAATCCCTATGAATTGGGACAGGGCCCAGTATACGACCCTTTGGGGAGTACGAGGTTCAAGTCCCCATGCCCATAGGTAGGCCTATTTTGAATTGGTAGCGGAACTGTTGAAGGTGGCCATTTTCTCATGCATGGATGATGGACAGATCATAGTGGAAGGGTGGAAGGTCCACCCGCATCAACTTCTGTTCATTGTTATGTTAAGTTATATTTGTGTGCTAACGTCTGTGACTGTGAAGTTACCAGGACAGGCCCTAAATTCTACCAGCTACTGTGACACCAACCAGACTTCATAGCAGTAGGCTAGATGTACCCCACAAACCCAAAATAATTCTTTTCTGCCATAGGCTGTACATAACGTTGAACAGGGATTCTGTTGTCCTTGTGTACCCATAGAAATGTTGCTGTATCCCATCTAAGAATTCTGTGTGAGGTGGCTTACATACCTTTGTCCGGTGTACCAAGGAAAAAACAAATGGGTCAAAACCATGCTGATATTCAAAAAGTGCAAATATTTCTCAATCAGCATCCGAGAGTCATGCGGATGACGTGTACTTGTGAAGACGAGCCTTGACCAAGTGGTTGACTGTGGCTGCAATCAATACACAAGATATGGAATTTGGCTGCCGCGGCTTCCCATACCTGTGTGTGTAATTGTTAGCTACAGCTGGCCTGACTGGTTGAAATGGCAGTTGGCCATGGCGTGCTGGGGGTCACATGGACCATTCACACGGCTCCTCATTACTAATGCTCAAATGGCAAGAATGACTAGCATTAGCTGTTGGGTTTGAGTGCATGTTATGGCCCTGCTGTTCTGGCCATGCACATTGAGCAGTAGGCGTCTCTGTGTGAAATAAAACGGGAATAAGACATGTCTTCAGAAGATATGTCTTATTCCCATTTTATTTCACACAGAAGAGGACATTGCAATGATTATTTTTTTTTTCCAAAAAAAGGAAGTTGGATTTCAAAAGGTCGAACGAATTTTTTGTTTGTCAAATCTGATTTTGCTATTCATTGAAGAGACATGATTTGTGATATAGACTTTCCGTCTCTACTGAGATATTAAGTTCTGTCCCTGATGAGCCATGTGGTAGCCAAGGGAGATTTCCAATTTGTTAAAATGCTTGAAAGAAATGTTCAGGGCAATAGGTGGTGTCAAATTAATGATTATAAAGTTCCATATAATCACATTATGCTCTTTATCTCTTGATAGGACAAAAAATTATGATGAAGCCATTTGGCCTTTCAGAATTGTATCAAGGAATAGTTGTGTTAACTAAAGGATTACTCAGACATGTTCACAACGCTACGTGGATTTGTAGGTAACCAACAAAGTGGCACCTGCATACTTCTTTCTTTTTATCTCAACCGAAAGCATTCTTTTAACGATCTGATTATTTCTTGATCAGCAGGTGAATCAGCCTCTTCTGTGTGATACATTTGACCTGTCACCTAGGAGACGCTAACAGACACGTTCAGTATGGTACGTTGCCATTGTACTTCACATCACTAGAGCCCTTGGTTCTTGGCTGCATGGAATAGAAGTTATACACGACAGCCATCTCTTTGGTCACTGTTTTGTTTCGTATGTATACATACGAGTAGACCATTTATTTTGTGCATATCCCCCATTAGGTAAGCACTGACCGGGAAGATGAAGATGGCTGCTGTGTGTAGCCTCTTTTGATCCTCAAAACAGTTCTGAACAGAACTGAACTGGAACTAGCGACAAATTGGTACAACTCCAACCCATCAGGTGTACAAACTGGTTGGTTCTTGTTGCATTGGGCAGTTGACAGCAACACAGTTTATACCCTTTCAAGGGTTGTTGTTTGGAGCAAGTTCCAGTGAACAATATCACTGTTTGATGGTGTGGTGGCTGTCATGCTGGGACTCGGGGGGAGTTGGGCTACTGGGATTGTTAGAAGAGTTCATAGCACGAACACTGTGGATTGGATGAATTGGTAGGAGTAAATAGGTACTTGGCAGTTAAGGATGTAACTGTGCCAACTTGGTCTTGGCCCCGAGACTGGCTTTGGATGATCCCTTTCACTAGCGCACAGATCAATCTTGTATCCTGTTTTCAGGGAAAAATCTGTCAGTGGCTTGATCTTTCCAGAAAGAGAAAACAGATATAGCAATCCTGTATGCCATTAAGTATACTTAAATGTCCTACAAGTTTTCAAATAGCTTTGAAGTAGTGTCTGGTCTTTAATCACATGCTCAGTCAAGTGTGTACAAAGAAATATGGTGGAATGTGTGATGGGAAGGGCTTCTGTTTGTTACAGTGCAATATTCATTTGCCTTTTCGCTTCGATTGTAGCCGAGGGAAATCCACGAGATCAAGGACCTGCTCCTGACGGCCAGAAGGAAAGATGCAAAGTGTGAGTTTTTATTCCTTTGCTATTTCATTGGAACATTTGATAACATTTGATATGTCCTTTGAACATTCGATATGTCATTAGAACGTTTTGAATCTAGCCATTGTGAAGTCAGCTAACATGGACTAGTGCTTATTTTAAATTGGGCAAGAGCCATACAGGAAACATTACTCCTACTCTTCAGGCTAAGTTCCTTGCAATTAGTCACATCTCTCCAACATCATCAGTTATGTAACTGCTTTTGGCACTAACAGTGCTGAACATTATCAGTAGCCCTAACATTCCTGAATTCTCCAATTTTAATATGATTTTGCACACACCCTAGGGAGTTAGGATTAAGCCCTTTGCCCATTGAGTGATGTAAGCCGTCTAAAAGAATTTTTCTGGTAACAAGTTATATTCAAGTTTTCTGATGGATTTGTACCCCAGGCTGATAAAGTAAACAGTTAAACTGTTAATTGGCTGATATCTCATGTTGACAAGATCACTTTGTTTTTGCCATGTAACAGCTGTGAAGATTAAGAAGAACAAGGACTGTGTCAAGTTCAAGGTGCGATGCAGCCGCTTCCTCTACACCTTGGTCATCAAAGACACCGAGAAGGCTGAGAAGCTCAAGCAGTCTCTTCCTCCAGGTAGGACAGTTACTAGATTGAGTCAATTCCAGTGCAGTTCAACACCTTTCTAAAAAGGTTTATTATGTATATCACTTCGTAGCCAACATACACGCGTATTAAATATCTGATCACAGCCAACGGCCTTAAACGTAGTTCCACTGACTTTCTGTGTTGCGCCAACTCTACAAGATGGCCATATCACCTGTTAAATGCAGATACCAGTGCAGGTCTGTGGGACTCCAAACATTTGGCCCTTGTATTATTAATATGAAAAACAGAATACAGAGACTGGGCAAGCGATTTTCCATGTTGTAAGCAGGATGTTGTATTTACAGTGCTTTTATTATTAATTCCATATTCAACCTTCGTTTCGATTGAATATTCAGTTGTAACAAATTGCCACAAGAAGGAACAAAATATGTTTTTTACAAAAAGTGCATCGTTTGGCATAGGCATTCAGCTGACGTCATTAAAAGTTCGCTTAAAACACAGTGAAAATGTGCTTGTGGAATGTAATTTTCTAATGGGATGATTTGGCGCCCCCCCTTATTTTGATCATTGATTTTCATTCTGAATATTCAATTCCTTTGAAGTGACCTCTCCAATCCCTTCAGTTTTTATGAAATCACAGGCCAAGAAGTGTGGCCATCATTAAAACCTTAAAGAGTCTGCGCACCCCTCAACAGGTTCTTCAGTAGCGTCGCAGTCGGGTTTTTTTCCACGTACTTGGCCTTGGGGAATGTTTTGGTAGCTGACCGTGAGATCTTCCAAAAACTTAGCTCTGGGGGGTTTGAGGCTTGTCACTTAATCTTGTGACCCAACTTTTTTAGGGAGACCGGGCAGTTTCCATTCAGATTTAGAAATTAGATTGACTGCACTTTGACAGTGCTCTTTTTGAATTGATGAAGTGAATTTATGCAGTGAAAATGGATATTACAAAATGTTCATAGCCCACTTTTATGGCATTGACTTTGCAAAAAATGCATGGGCCTGGACGTGATCACTGATACCAAAATAATACACATTTGTAATGATTTGAATATGCATTCCGTGATTGGGTCAAACGATTGCCGTCAAAAAACAGGAGGTCACAGTGATTGCCTTCTTTCCATTTAGGTCTCCAAGTAAAAGAAATCAAGTGAGGCGCCAACGTGGGATGGCAGGATTGAGGATTCAGCATCCTGTCAACTCTGACCTCCAGCCTTGGACTGATTAAAACTCGGACGAGAAAACACCTAAGTCATGAAGGCAAGTCCACTTGTCAAGGACCTCTGAGTTGGATGGACAGTCTGTTACAACACCCCTGAATACCTCATAATGTTGTCTCACCAAGATGTAAATAGAATAAAGTTTCAAGTGATAGCTTGAAAAACAAAAAAAGTGAAACAGAATGGTGTTCAGTGTGTTTTTACTGGGAAACGTCTTTGAATTATGTTCCTTATTTTTATAAGGATCTACAGTATGTCCAGTCTTGAAGTGAATATTTAGAAGTGAAGTGAATTGTGTCGATAACGTGTTGACTTTTTAATCATATTATTACATGTACCATAAATCTAAAATGAAGCCAACCTTTCATTAATAACTATTACATAAGCATTTAATCACACATCTCAAAAGTTCTTTTTCTGAGAAAGGCTAGGCTGGGATGCAGGGCTTGCTAGCAATTTTGGACTTGCTGGGGACAGTTTCGTTGGCGGTGGGTTGATTTTGAGCATCCTCGGTGATGTGGACTGGGAGCTTGATGGTGCCTTGGGGCTGGGTGGTGACAAGAGGGTCGAGGGGGGTCTAGGACTGACTGGCGGGGGCACAAGACTGGACGAGGAATCTTTCCTTGCTGGGTCTAGCTGGGAAGATGGATACTTGAACACTAAGTGGTCATCGGAAGCATGGCCTGGCTGGTCGGTGCCCCTCCGTCCAGGGGAGAGAGGTGACAGTGACGAGCTGTCTGAATGATTAAATAGATGGAAAAAACACTTGTGAATTTGTGCTTGCCAGAAAACTCGACGGTGAGTAGCTGGGAATGTTATGTGCGACTCGCCCGTTAGCAGACGGGGGAATTGAAGTCATTTCCCACAAAGGCACTTCGGTTTGTGGCTTTTTTTTTTGTTCCCAAATCGCGTTAACATACCAAAAATTCAGCTTCACCCCTCCCTCAGAGAGGCAAAATACAGGTTTCATAAAAAGTTTCAAATTTGGGTTCACCCCCCCCCATAAAAAAGGGTTCTGGACCCGCCCTTGCTCACCAAGGGACATGGTTCGCTTTCTCTGTGGCTGCAGATGAGGTAGGAAGCAGCTGATTGCTTCCGCGATTCTCGTGGCTTGGTCTGGTGTCAGTGCCTTCATCTCGTAGTAGCCTGGAAATTTAAAACAATTCATTATCAAGTGTCTTGAAATAGTTTCCTTTTGGCGACGCAGGTAGTTGCAATATCGCTCCCCTGCACGCTGGGGTTTGTTGCAGGTGTTTACTGAGGCTTTCCCATTTAATTTGCTCATCCTCTTCGAAAGATTGCCAACCGAGGATTTTTGTGCGTGTCCTGACACACACACCCATCAAGCTTGCACTAAATGGAAAATGCTCTCCAAATGATTTCAAATCGATTAAGAAATTTCCTATGGTTCGTAAACGGAGAAGGAAAGCGGTCCAGTTGCGTTAAAGTATGCCTCTTTTTTGTCAAATCAACCATCTCTAATTGCCGTAATTCTAATGTACTTTTGTGATGACGCCAGTGCACGTATTTCATCCCCTTGTTCCAAAGGCCATAAGTCGCCCGTCTTTTGAAATATTTTTACCTGGTCTCCATGTTATTGATACATACTTTGTATCCAGGGTTTGTACTGTCCTTGAAAGTTTCAAGGCCTTGAAAATCTTGGGAGTTGTCATAGATGCTTGAAAGCCTTGAGAAATTTTGTTTAATGATTGAAAACTATTGCTTCATGCAGAGTAATGTGACCACAGGAGTTTCAAAATACGCTGCCAGCTGGCGAAACTGACTGGCTGCTTTCGCCGATTACTTGGGTGGAAAACAATCACCGTCAGCAGTGGAGCCATGTCCCCATCAAGCCAACCGTCTTACCTACATGTACATGTACTGTTAACTGGTAAAGATCAAATTGTCCAATACCAGTTGGTTTATTTACAGGTCCTAGATAAAGCATCTATGTTTGCTAGAGTTTGGTCCTCGAAAATGGTATTTTCTGGACCTTGAAAGCCATTAAATTTAGAGCTATTCCAAGTGAGCAAATTCTTTATATTATAATACTGAAAACTGGATTCGAATCTCACTCAGGTAGACATTAACAGTTGGTTTTCAAACCTAGCCAGATCTCATGGCATTTTCGTAGATGCCAGAGCTGTCCTCCCAACTCTCTAGATCCGGACATTTCGTCGTTGCTCTGTGCTATTTTCCCCCCTGTTTTGTCTTAATTTTCAGTTATCCCAGCATCCCGCACACTTTAATAATTCTGTGTTGCCTTTACGTACAGACTTATTATGAATACATGTACATGTAGGGTTTTTTATTGAGATGTTGGCTCTTCATGCAGTGGTACAGTTCTGATAGAAACAATTCGGAGACCGTTTCCGACAAGTTCACACCTTTCAATCTGTCCATTAATGTTACATCACCGACCCACCTTTGTCTCCCTCGGAGCTGTCTAACTTGAAGTATACCCTCGCGCCCCAGACGCCGTACTCCATCACCCTACCCAGGGCCCATCGCTGGTAGTGCTTAGGTGGGTTTGTTGTAGCTAGGGACATTGCATGCTGGGTAACATGGAGCACAACTTGGGAGATAGGTGCAGCGACTCCCGTCATGGGTACCACTTCCCAGCTCTCTTTGGATAATGGGGGTTAGGGGAGAGAGAAGATATTGTTGCGATTATTAAAACTGTGTTTTAAAGTGTGTGTGTGTGGGGGGGCAGTTAAGAGACATCAGGCATCAATAATAATAATAATAATAATAAGGCATCAGCCATTAAAAGGCAGATCCACTAAACCCCACCCCACTATAGGACCTGCAAAAAGTATGTGGGGGGTTGTCCTCAGTCGAAAAGGGGGGGGGGGTCACTGGCCCCCGTTTCCGCCGCCATGCAGTGCTACCAACAAATCTGAATTCGAGTTTTCCACAAAACCTGAATTCATGAACGCGTGAACGTTTTGCGCAGAATGACAGCTCCCGGTTTGTTTTTCGTTGAAAATAAAACCGAATCATCGCAGAGGGGAAATGTGCCTTACTGCTGGGAAAGTATTTCCCGACGCCCGTCTGCCATTTTGTCAAGTTCGACGTGTGATCATGAAACACTAAGGTGTCTGTGACCAGCAAGATAGCAAGGTAGCAAGGTGTCTGATGGCCGGCCTTTTGACTGCTTTTTCTGGGGTCGTCAAACTTCCCTCTCTCGAGACCCACGAACGTGTCCTTAGAGATGGTGTGGGCTGTCTTGAGAATCTTCTCATCTGACTGCTTGAAGACTTTAAGTTGAAAGATGCCTGTTGGAGAACGTTCAGTGAGATTGATATTGTTTGTGTGTGTGTGAGTTTGTTTCTGCATTCAATTGGGGACCCAGAACAATAGATGACATTAAGGTCCCCGATTGACAGAGGGTCCCCGATTGACAACTGTGTATAAAACATATGGTTGGTCTTCTAAAAAAGAGGAACAATAGGGGGTCCCCAGTTGCAGGAAAATGCACACTTGTGTGTGTGTGCTAGAAATGATAGGAGACTCTGTTGTCCTGTGCTCTTTCATTCTGTTGTTTATTTTGCTTTGCTCTGCTTGATACTTTTGTTTCTTTCTTGGGGTTTTCTGTTGCTTTTACCCTTCTTTTCTGCTGTGCTCTGATCTCCTGTATTTCATAATACTGTAGTTTTAACATAAGCTTTCTTGGCTTTGTTACCTGTTTTTATGACCCCTTGGAACAGCACCCATCTCTGAAAAGTACAAGAATTTGAATAAATAGTAACAGCCAATGACAGTGTGCGATTAAGACAGCGTAAATGCTTTATAGTAATGATTAACAGATCATGTGACCGTCTTTGCATTGCATGCGCATGCGCATCTCTTGACATGAACTACATGAACCAGTGGTATAAATATATTCGAAGGATTGATTATCTGATGTTATATCGCTAAAGTGTATTTTTACCACACGGAAATGAAATATAGACGCATTCATGCAATAAGTCCTTTTCGTGGTCTTGAATGACAGGGCTACATGTGGGGACTCCCCGTTTTATATAAACGCTGCCTTCTATTTGGCTGAGCAAAATACAATGGAACCCTTTCATAACTAGAACCTTCGGACCTTATAAATTACCTTGTATAAATGATACTTGTATTATTAGTAATGGAAAACAAAGAAAAAGATTTGATACCCCACAATGTGCTGTTATAAGTATGGCCTTGTATGAACTGTGTTTTTCTCCATGGTTGACTGATTAAGCCTCTTTTGTGAAAGTGGCATGCCCAAGGTCGTACGTATTGATCAATTACAAACTATGTAATGAACTTTGATCCGTGCATCATCATGAAAGAGTGGTGGGAAATATTTTCACAATGCATGCGATGGCGCCTGTACGCAGTGGTGACGTGTTTACATGTACATGTGCATGTATGCACGTTTGCATGTAAAAAGGGACTGAAAAGACAACATGAAACGAAACGGGAAATTTTACAAGTAGGCTATTTCGATTGAAATGAAGGATGATGGAGTAATTATTTCTGGCTCGAAGATGTCTTTTTTTTTTACATTTCCTTGTGCAGCACCACACCATGCTCCGCCCATGACCCCCAAACTTTGGAGATTATTTAGAAAATTACAAGCTTTTGTGGAACATCAAATATTTCACGGCATCGACTGTATACTGCCACGCAGGTGGAGTGGATTAGTCGTCGAGTATAACGTGACAGTGCTCATATTAACGTTTCAACTTTAAGGCTTGGTCTTTAGTACCAGCGGCAGCTTTGACTTCCTTATTTGTACCGCTGTCACGCTAAATCCTAGCACACTCAATTAAGTGAGTGTTCATGCCACTGATGTTCCCATACCTCCAGCAATCATTTATCTCTGGCGGCTAGAATTGCTAATGATTCCACCTTTCAACTTTCTGTATCAACAGTCATAAGACCCACCTTTCTGTTACCCTTTGCAGTGCGTAGGGTGAGAAACCCGTCCAGGATACGCGTGCACCCTCCGGCAGTCTCCTCCTTTTCTCTTGATGTCATGCTGCTTAGAGTCTGTCTCGGCTCTCCGGAACAAAAACCCCGGACCAGATTTCTTCCCGCCTGATCGCTTTGACGTGAATGCGCAAAGGCGGCAACTTGACGTTACCAGCACATTCAGATTCACAGAAGACCTTCAGCCGTGATGGCCGTGCATGAAGTGCGCCAACATATAATTGCTGTTATTCCGTTCGTGACCGGGGCTACCACGAAACCGTCGAATCGGTTAAAAATACAACAGTGACTCTATAAACGGTGCACTGAAATCTCGGTAACACGAAAATTTGCGTTTGTACATCTGAATGTCTTGTCGAGGCAAAAGGACGGTTAGTTAACGATGTTATGAACTTGGATGCCGGCCTTTGTCTCGCTGCAGTTGTACAGCTTTGTCCACGAGTGGTTCAAGGTGGCAAACTATGGCTGGCCGTCAATACCAAACCGAACTCAAATTACACGAACATACACTCGCAATATCTTAAAAATCACCCGCATCTATCAAAACACGGGAAATGTAAATTGAAATTACAACGTGAAGTTGCTTTCAAACAAAAAGAAACAGTGTGCATTTTTGGGCAATACCTGTTCAAACTAAATGTGTTCTTTCGGCTTGGGCCGCTTAATACGAAATGGCAGGCAAAGAGAAGGCCTGCGTTCGAATCGCATTCTATTCTCGAGAAAGACGCCACAGCCTGGGCTGAATTTGTGCGAGTGAGCAGGTGATTGCTTGAATTATGACTATCATTTTTTCCCGGCCTTCATGCCAGAGTGCCCAGCGCTCACCAGTGGCATGAAGCAGTGTAGACGAGTACATCACTAGTGCTCCTACACGAACTAGATGGAACTAGATGATGGTACCATTTTCGCCAGCATGTGTTGAATAACCATATCTACCTGCACTATTGCGTATTGTTTTGTCCCTCTTAGGGAGAAATTAGGGGCGGTTCTGTTCACTAAACATTTCATGTATTATTCGGTAACGGGGGCCGAAAAAGTGCCATGGGTCGGACGACGAGGGCGCGGGTCGAGGAGGGTGACCTCTCATCGCCACTTTTTATAAAGGGCCCATACGGTACGTTTAAAGGTTGGCAGAGCCATAAAAACAGAGTGTGGGGTCTTATTTCGTGTGGGCGATTAAAGATAAAACAAAGAAACTAAATGGCTTCTCCAACGGCGACAAAAACGTGCATGTGGGCCTGTGACCCCCTCCCCCCCGTCGTGTACTAACCGAAATCCTGAATTCAATCCCTGCGACGGTACATGATTCTGCAAGCCCCCGAATACACTGATGCACAATGGATACTCGGGCTGAAAAAGTTGTGCCCCAGCGCCATTTACGAACAAGAATTCGGATTCACATGTCCCATGGGCCCCGAGCTGGACCAAGAGAGGGCGCGATTTTCACTTCGCTGGTTCACGGATTACTATGAAATGGATGCGTTGCGTGCTCGTCCCTATACCGACAAAACGAACACTCCCGATCAGAATGGCTCATTTCAACCGACTAGGGGGTGCTTCTGCTAAGGCAGATTGTACCCCTATTAAGAACAAATACATGCACCGGTGCTTAACCCGAGTTAAGGTGTTTCGATGATCCCAATTGCACCTTCGTAAAGAGGTAAAGCATCAAGTGGTCAAATAAATGAAAAGGGAATTCAAATTTATGTTCAAGTGGCCGATAATCAAACTGAATTCCCGCCCGTATAGGCTAATTAGTATTGAAATCCATACCTTAAACTTTGTTTAAATTCTCAATTTTATACGTCTCAGATGATGTTTGGCCAAAAGTAGTGACGGAGAATGCGAACTTTCGTCTTTCGATCGCAAGGCGACACTTCACGTGACAATTTCGGGATGGTTTCACGAAAGCTAACAGGAACAACAATCTGGTGTTGAGTAAACAAGACGGACGAGACAGGTAACATTTTGTCATAGATTTGATGATAATGTTATACAGATACATGGACACAATACAATGTATAATCTTATCTTGGTATACCCATACACACTTGTTAATGTAGCTTGCATTCTTGAAGTCCGTGGATTGTCGCTAAAATTAGGCATTCCCCCAAAGTATACTGGACATAATTTAATGTTTATTGAAGTCTAACCGTGGTTAGCAAGTTAGCAATCACATAAAAATCCCAGACGGCAATATGCCAAGGTTACAATGGATTAGCAATTCCATCCTATTATGACAACCTCGTTGTTCGAGTCTTCAAAGTTGCGCGAATTTAGGGTCAGTCTGTTGAAGTTCGGGGTCACAGTGGAACACTTTTATAACAAGGTCCTTGGGACATTGAAATTTTCCTTGGCATAACAGGTACCTCTTGTTATCATTAAGGGGAAAACAAAGACTGTGACCTAAATTTGTCCCTTTTATAAACAAGACTTTGCATGTATTAACAATGCTTTTCTCATCAGAGTTCAACTGTATGTGTTTCGAGGGCCTGCGGGATGTTGCACGGCAATCGCGCCGCCATCTTGATTATTTGGCTGCGGTTGTTTTTGTTAAATCTCGTTTGGTTATCTACCGTCTATCGAAAGTGAACAGCACCTCCCCAAGAACTTCCAACAGAACTTTGTCTTTCTGAGCCAGTGATCAGAGCTCTTCTCCACTGAGAGCTGGGGGAGCTATTGTTGGAAGCTTCTTCTGTAGTGTTGGTGATGGAGTGTACCTTTCTGAAGCAGAAAAAAAAAACTGAGGGTGAAACTAAAATGGAGAAGTAGGCCTAATTGATTGAATTTTTGTTCAGAACAGTGTGCCACCTGGCACGTCATTTGATTTTCGTCAGTCGTAAGAATTTCTTACCAGGAGAAGGTGCTCTATCACTCGGCAGCGGTGGGCGATCGGTACTAAGGTCCAGCGGCTGCAGACCACCTGGGGTGAGTACCCGGTCGAGAGACAGGCGGATGCGTCTTGCGTGAGACTCGGACTCCGCCTTCATTTCAAAATCTGAAGCAGAAATTTAGAGAGAAAAAAATGAAGTAAAACAATCCTACAAATTAGTTGCAAAGGTGTTTCTCTAAATTGTATGGATGGAGCCTACCTCTGACTGATGTGCTTGTAATGTGTTCCGTAATAAAAGCGCTATGTATTATGTACCCTCCTCTGCACTGGACGCAACATCCACCTTGAAGTAGAAGATCCCTTCTCTGGACCAATAGTCCGAGATTCTAGACAGCTCCCATCGCTTGCAGCACTTGGGTGGGTTCATCGTTACTAGGCTCAGTGCATGACGGGTAACGTGCAGAGTCATCTGGAACTCGGGTGCCACGAAGCCTTTCAAGGTTTTCACTACCCAACTCTCTGGAACAGCAAAAGGTGAAAACCCTTGTGTCTTATACACGGGCGGCCTCTAACATTTTTGTACGGGAGTAGGTGAATGCAAAAATCGTCCCTAAAAAATGGGTGTCCTATATAAGTTTTCGGTGTATAGTATCACTTTTTAATGTGTACAGTTCCTTGCAAAATCAAATATTCTGTACAGAGTTGACCACTTTTGATAAGGAGTTTGAGATTAGTGTTGTAGTTGTGAATTACTTTGCAGACCGCGATCAATAGATCATTGGTAGCTCATGAAACCCCTCCGTAAAACCGAAAGCATCGAGCCCGCTATGCTCAAAGAAACTGTTTGTGACTCATTTTCTGAATAACGGTTAACACAATACTGCTCCCCATTACTTTGGCTAATAAGGATGAAGGGTTATCATTTATTAAGTCATTTATTCATTCATTAATTCAATTATTAGTCATTTATATTTTGCGAAATCTCTATGAATATCATAAGCTTCTTGAACTTGGGGCTCGAGGCATACCGTTGCTAAAGTATGATTTGACCACCGTGTCCCAGGACCGCAGCTCCATACCGATGCCGCCCTGCTCCCATGGCGCGGGTTCCTGAAACACCACGGTGTCCGTGACCAGGATCACGGCCCAATAAGCCGACTTTTCTCGCTTCTTCTTTGGTTTCTGAAGAGCCCCTCGCTCGGTGCCGACTAGTGTCTCCTTTGTCAGCGTGTACGAACTCTTCAGGATTTTCTCCTTGTCGTTCTTGTAGATTTTCAGCTGAAAGAGACCTATAGTAGACCGGGGTACACTTTATCATCGGATTTATCAAGATTGCCTCTAGAATTTTGACGTCGGTGTCTTGTCACTTGCACTAAAAACTCTTATAACTCCCACTAGGTGATTAGCAGGTTTGCCTTGAATACTACACCCCAAGCTAAATCAACTTTTCACGGGAGACTGGATGAACGTTTGCTCGTATACCATGCATCAACCTAGTGACAACTTACAGAATATCTCTTGCTGCATTCGAATTTGGATGCATTCTAAAAGTTATTGGCTGTTGGAACCAATGTTATACTGTCGGCAACAGCACACCTGCCAAAGAATGGTGACTGCACCCCTCTTTACAATCTTGTTGTGAGGGAAATGCATAAACTTCGTCTAGTCCGTAAAAGCTTGGACTTGGAAGAAATGGTTATCACTGTCAACTTTGGCAAAGGCGTTGGATGCAAATAATTAGTGTGGAAATCAACTTACCCGATTGTTGATTGCCTTGGAATATCACCCATCTCTATTGACAAGGACAGCAAAATGAGTAAATGATGAGTAAAAAACTCAGGCAATGACCCAGGTAATTAAGATTCGCGATCTGTGAATTATTTACAGACCTTTATTTCTTTTATAAGTCGACTGGTGTTTCAGTCGACAAGGCACTGTGTTTCAGTCGACAGGGCACTTTGTGTTCTTCTCTCCTTCTTTTGCTTCTTGGCACAAATGGAGAAAAAGAAACAAAGTGGGACTCGTATTTCATCAAATGTTTGCCTCCCTCTCAGATCATCTTGTCCACCCATCACTTAGTAGTGCGATCCGGAAAAAGTTCTTTTACCTTTCTTACTTTCCCGTTGTCTAGATTCAGTTGGTCGAGATAGCCTGTCCTAAGCCTCGTGCACTCATCAGAAGTGTCCAACGGGTCACCAAAAGCTGCCATGCTGGTGGGAAAATATGGGAGAACGATTCAAGATGGGAGTGCCTTGACAAAAGAATTCGATAAACTTTTTAAAACTGGTGGACAGTTCGGGTTATATTGGCCTACCCCTTTTTACGGTTCGAGGACAGATTTGCATGAGAATTTCCACTTTTATGTGCTGCTTTAAATGTGCAAAGTATTTGAATGCTTCTGTAAACTGAATACTCGGAGATACGGCGTAATAAAAGCAACACTGCATTAAAGGTTGAAACATGACTCACAGTCCGTTAATGAGTTACCGAGGTTTGAAAAAGGTCCACTACAACCAGTCACCTCATTTATTACTTGTAACTAGGCAGGCATCACACCGCACGTATGCACAGCCTAATCGTCTCCAAATCAAGAAGTAGTTGTCGAATTTTATCCATTAAGTTTTGAAAGGCTGAAAGGTATAAACACGTTCACTCAACGTTCAAATCATTGGCGCGCTGCGTTTATGTAGGCCTCATTGCGCTGAGTGGAGATGTTTCCAGTCGTTATGTAGGTGAGTGTCTAGTCATAGCATAGGTGATGACCCCTCCCTTTAAAGTGACTATATCATAAATGCCTCAATTTCTGGAACGTATATTCAGAATTCATCTGTTGTCTTCTTGTGATATCGTCTAGTATAACACCGCCTGTGTGCTGGACATTTTTGCGATAAATACATTAACGCATTGTTGAATGGTCAAACTTATCAAATTTAGAATACGGAACAAGGTTCCCTCTGCATTACTGTCCCACTTCAAAATGGAAAATTCAATGCGAATTTGTTGAAATTCCCCTTAAATAGCCGTACGCTTAAATTCGCCTCTTGAAACTGCACCTGCTTAATTGACGCCTCACTCAGCAAGACGAGTTCGATAGATGCACGGTTTCGCCTGGAATATCCCATCCAGTAGCCTTCTGCGGAATACGAGCTTGGTCAAGGCCTGCCAACCTTGGCATTCGATAATGTTCCTGGCTCAGTGTATGGGAAAACACTGAATGCTTCGATTGATACAGTAAAAATAGCCTTCCGTGGCATTATGTTTCCCGAATTTTATTTCAAAGTGAAATGATGAGAGAAAGTAAAAACATTTTGCGCAAAAATTGAATAAAATTTTAAGCATGCACGCAGTTTTAAGTTATTAATAATTAAAATTAAAGAAATCCACAAATACATTTTGAAATGATGCTGCTGTAGGCCCTAAAAACTCTCTAGTTACCCTTGTTTTCAATGTCTTCTCGTTCCTATCCCGGTATACATGTACTTCACGTTGAAAATAAGTAACAATTTGTTTTCTGTCGGTTGCACATTGGTAAGAACGTTTTTGTTACTTGTATGTTTGTCAGCACATTGTAACCAAAATCGCCTGTGTCGTATCATGATAATGTTCAGGTCTCGATGTTGTGCATGGGTTGACTGGTATTTGGTTACACTGTAATGAACGGACGGAGCCTGATCTCGAGTTACTGACGAAGTTGATGCGATCAGCGGGTACGGATTTGTCATTCGATTGCATGCAGCGCGACTCACCATGCCATGTTTAAGATTAAGAGAAGGGGCCACTGACTGACAAATGCTGCTGGCCACCTAATTCCATCCCAAGATGTTTCATTGCAATCTGCTGAGTAATGATCTGTAACCTCTACAGTAAATCGAGCGTGTATTTTTTTCAATACTCAGACCTGTAACGCACAAGTGATGCATTATTTTGACACGCACTACAATATTCTTTCAGTTTATTGAACGCAATGCGAGAAATGAATAATGCTTATAGTTTTGGTTTTCCTGAGTCAAACAAATTAAGGCTAATTCAATTTTTGTGTGATGCAGCTTTCTCCTTTAATATTGACCTTTTTATATATTTTCCCCAAATTCACTGAAAGGGATATGAAATTGCTCCTAAATTAACATCCTCGGTATCTATATAGGACAACACGGGACTCGTGTTGTCCGATGGGGCACCGAAGGTGTTAAATTTGCACAAATTTTTCGCAGGGCAGCGTGCTCGGAAAAACTTGACTAGCACCCTGCACCATTTTCTTAACAGTTTATAATTACTACATACAGTGAATGACAACAAAATTATGAGATAAAAGCGGTCATCCAAAAATCACTTCCATTAAAAAACCCTGTGCTGAGTCCTTACTGTGTGATTGAACACAATCATCTCATAAATTATATTTGAAACAAAGCATACCCATTTGGTCTCGTGTATCACACGCATAATATACCATCTACAGATTATTCTCCGTGGCGTCGATGCTGTCTTTTTTCACCGTATGGAGGGCAAAGGTGGGACCAGACTTTGACGCTACATGGCAAGGCTGCCCGCGCGCACACTGAACGCGGAAAAAGTGCTCATCTCCCCGACGAGTAATATTATTTCGTGCATGCATAATTTCCTTGTATCCAGCTCACTGGCTTGCTTGGCTAGCTTCAGGCCTTAATTGCAAGGGCACCATGTGAAGATTTCACGGTGTGGGCATTTACATGTCACTTTATTGTAACCGTGTTTCTGCACACATTTTGTTTTCTTCGTCTGACGATCCTGATCCACTCTAGTCCGTATACCTTTCAAGTTCATCTCGGAATTATCTCGTGGCTTCAGTTTTTTCACGCAAGCGATATTTTTTTTTTCAAAATGACCATACGTGAATTATAAGCTTACCTTCTCCCCAGCGCGAAAGTCAGTGCACGGCACGGAATGCCTTCATGAGGTTCACAGATGGTTGGGTGGGACCCGGAGACGGTACATCATGCATTTAATCATCGGCCGAGATCCAACAAGTAGGTGCACTGAGGCCCGATTATTGGAGGTTCAGTGCTATACGGTTACCTCCTGCCGTGCGTGACGATGCGGTCACATCAATGCATAAACTTGTCCCAGTCCCTGAAGGTTAGTGAGTCTAATCCTGATGCTCCAGCTATTCCCAGGGGTGGGTTAATCATTGCCCCGACGTACGTGTTAACGGGACAGTTATCCCGAAACAGCCGCAAAGAGTTCTATTTATGATCCTGCACGCATATTCAAGGAATTGTCCTTAACAATACTGATATACACAAGTCTAGTCCAACCAACGATGCGTTTCCTATCTGTCGTGAGGACATCGGTAATGGCAACAGTGCGCTGGGAAACATAATGATGGATGATGGAAAAGGTCGCTGGTGAATTTTCTCCATCTCAGTTCCGATGCTGTCCTTGCCATTACTTGTCATGAGGCTTAGGTCACTTATTCAGGGTATGAGTTTCATAGGTAAAGGATGAATGCTCCACGCACTTCATACGCATGATTGTTAGAAGCAGTCGGTGACTATCATGATAGTCTGCTCTTAATAGATTTTAAAAAACTTCATCACCATGTTTAGTGCTAGTGGGTATTTAAGGGTATTTGGCAGTACTTCAGTTCTGGTGACACTATTTTAGACGACAGATGCTCAACAGAATTAGTTATGGAAACCGCGTTAATCATGACCGCAACTTTACCCTTTTTGCACACTAATTCCCATAGTCCAAATTTTACCGCAGTAGCAACGCACGGCAGACAAGCCTGGACACGTGTTTTAAAATGAAACAGAAAACATCTTGTCTTAGAAAGTAGAGATTCAGAATGTGCGCACGACGGCGCATCTGGCTGTGCATGCTTGTGTTTTTCTGTTGCTGCCTTGCCCTTCTTATATAAACACTCATCTGCGAGCGCTCACGTTCACAGGAAATTATGTCACAGTCTCCCAAGGAAATTTCTCATCCCGGTTGCCTGGCTGCTTGATATTATTCCTGATCCTTGCGATGTACTTCCGGCGTCACAATTCATGTGAGGATGAAGTGGATCTCATAGCCTGCCGGCTGATCTAAATGCATGCAAATAATGGGCCAATAAACTTTGGATAAAGTACAAGAAGGTACGATTTCAATTTAAAATGCGCATATAAAACGAAATTTCAACTCCTGAATAAAAAGGTCAGTTTGTAGGCTTAACTGCTCTGAGTGGCACAATGCTAGCCTGGAGAGGTTTGCTGGGGGGGACATTCGTACATTCTTGACCAATTCAACAAAGATCTTGTCTTTTTTCTGGGAGCGACATTTATGATACACAATTTACTGGGTAACCACTACAGATGGTGATGTGCTGCTCTCGATGCGGCTTGCGCAAAGTAGGGGATGACGATATATATGCAACGTATTGTAATTAGTGACGTATTTTCAGGTCTTCTGGGGAGGAGGCAAACTCGATCCTTTTCTGGAAATGACTGTCCACATTTGCATCCTAAAAAGAATCCTATCCCTTGAGAACCATCAATGATATGGGGGGTCTTCTGAAGGCACTGCCTCTTGTTACGCCATCGATGATTAAAGATCGATTAAAGGTCCCCATGCAAAAAAGCGCCCTCCTTCTGAGCTCGCTCTCTGTGCTCTGATCGTCTAAAACAAGTCCTATGGAAGCAGCAGTGCCACATACAGAAGCACAGACTGTTGCAAAACAACATTGTGCCCGCATACTGAAGTTGCCCCCACCGTTGGTAATAACACGGACTCCCTCGGGAGCCTCTCGCAGCGACTGGAGCCACTCTCCATCACTCGCTCCAGCCGATGCCCTCCTTCCGCCCCCCCAGCACAAGCGATGATGGACTAGACTTTGGCCAATGGGTGGCGCTGTCAATTTTATTTGGGTTATGTCATGGTAGTACATACTGCACTGTTTGTCACAATGGATTGCAATCAGCAACGACAGCAGATTTGGACCGTGTTCCTAGCTATTTAGATCTTCACGGGAAAGTGAAATTATGGACATCATGAGTGTAAGGTTCGTGTCTTGAATCTTATATTATGGTGCAGATTCGAAGGTATATATTTGTCAGTATAACTTCAGTAATACCCCAAGTCTGTTTTTCGTAGTAGACCGGATATTTACAATGATTTAACCATGTTAACGTCAGCATGGCAAGTGCTGGACTTGTGCTGGTGCTAAATCGTCGACCGCACGGAAACATACATGTACATGTATAAACTACTGAGACGATGGAGACTTATTATTATTCCATTGTTATTCCTGGTATATTTAAGACCAAGTGAAAAAGTCGTATGGCCCGTTCTACTATGTTTAGGCAGGCTATTGTTTATTTTCTAGGCATGTCTGATGACATCTATTGTTTCTTCAACCAGTCAAGTTCCATTTTTAGATGTAAATTTATAACAAAAAGTACCTCTGTCTGTGTTGCAAGGCACAGAAATGAAACACTCAAAGAGACATGTTTTAAATGTTTAACAAGGGAACTGAACCTTCAGCAATTTTTTTAGGTAGTAGACCTACGTTTGCAGTACATGGTACATAAAAATTCCAAGATGTGTGTGCGGTTTGCATCCACCCAACCGTGTCCAAATGTTTAACAAGGTGACTTGTAGAGTCCAAGTTACTCGGATAACTTGCATGTGGCAGCTCGATGAAATGTTTGAAATGAAGATGGCATGGTGAACTGCAAGGTGTGGAAGATCTGTGTAAGCATAGGACTAGGAGTTCCTACGCTCCTGCATATATTTGAAAATTATTCCGGTGGAAATGGATGCCAAAAAGGAAGTGGGATGGAATGCTTGTCACAGTGATTTTTTCACTTTGCCTAACAGGGACATTTAGTCACACCAGAACTTCCATCCAGACCCAAATTGTCTGTTTAACTCTTATACCAGCTACACATAATTAATGCAAAACTATTCTCCATGGGTTTGGGAACCTTTGTTTGTCTTAAAAATAAAATGATGGTACTGACCATCACTGAGATTATACAAGGACCTCAAAATGGATCATTTCCTCAGTGCCTCAAGAACAAACTCCCATGTGTGTATGGTCATATGTATATGTTGGGTGCAGTCTGATCTTTGCACCATCAGTCAATCTTATTGCGTGATTTGTTGATAATTATGCCATTAGTGAATTGCCTTTCTGTCCAATTTACGGGTTTGAAAGATTGCTTAAAAAGAGAGATCTACCTGTTACTAAAAGGATGCTTCTTTGCAGGATCGACCAATGGCGGAAAGCGATTAGATACATGCAGGTCAGCAAATTGAGCCAAACATGAACATGTAAATGCATGTAGTGGCTACACAAATGAAAGATACTGATTACCGCACGTGCATAACCCTCACATGTCATGTGCAGAGTTGAACCCGCATGTGGATGTCCTCCAAACGTAATCACTCTTGAGGGTTTTGTTTATGACCACCAGACACTGATGTGAAAGGCATCAGCACTGTGCATTTGGCATTCAACGTTAACGACAGCAGCAAAGTCAACATCTTGCTTTCTAGCCAAGCCATGGCTTTGCCAAATCAGTTGGCGGTTGAAGAGGGCCGCAGTACAGGCAGTGCATTGTCTGATAATGCAGAGGTAGACAATTCCTGCAACAGACAAGGTACATGTACATCATAAACAATTTCCTAAGGTTTGATTCTGCTTTTGTCCAAAGTAAATGAATGTGTTTTTTTGAGGGGGGGCTTTGGGAAGGTCTTCTCTCATGTTTCCTGAGACTTTAAAACTTTAACATTGTTTGCCATTTTTATTTAAGCTTGTGAGCCATCATTCTCTTCTGCAATTTTGTTCTTGTGTAGATTCTTTGTTTAAATGACAACAGTAATGCTGACTATTACCCTGCACACTTTGGTTACAGGTCAAAATCCAGCTGGAATGGATGTTTATTTCCGTGGTTTAAGTCTGTGAAATGCTGACTTTCACCTCTAACCATGCCATTTCTCTTACAGTTAGTGTTCATTCTGTGTCTTGACTTTTACATTTCTTAGATGTTGGTCTCTCTGCGGATCTGCAAAATGGTCTTGATAGAATGGAGGAACAAGAATACCCCATGCAGAAAATGACTACCAGTCACATCACCCTGGATGGATCAGGTGTTCTGACCCCAACTGCAAGCCCTTTGCTTTCAACACTGACTACAAGTGCATTAAAAAGTGACTACACATCTGGGGAAACACAGTCAACAGACAAGGCTACCACTAGCGGTACTCCTTCAGTCAGTGGTCATTGCGACCCCTCGACCCCGACCATGAGTCTGTCGGAGAAACCCCTTGCTAGCACAAGTGATCAGAGGGCTGATTGTGTGGACCAAGATGCACCGTCCACCAGCAGAAAGGACAAGGATGTCTTCACCGTTGACACCAGCCTTATCCCCACTGTGCCGGACCGGCTGCAGGCCACCGAGTTGCAGGGCCTGGAGGGGGTCAGTGTGTTCAACCAAGAGGAGTTTGAGCGGGGGGTCATGCAGCAGGTGGACCAGGCCATCTCACTCAGACAGCAGGCTGCTGACCGGGAGAGGGCTGAGAAAGATCTGGACAGGGTGCTGACCGACATACGGTAGGACCAGCCTCTCAGTGGATTGCAATTTTGGTGCCTTAAGTTTATTTTGAACGCTTTCATTTTTCTTGCCCTTTTCCATTGAGCTAGTTCGGTATTCCAACAACGTTTGCCCAGAATGAAGTGTATTGGAGGTCATTCAGAATGCACAATACATGCATGCAATAACTCACTTGAACTGAACATGTTCACGCTTACCTGTAAATGCATTGTGGAACCATTGACCTTGCTTGCTTTTTGAATACAGAACTATCTCATTGAATTTGTATTTTCTTTGTAGTGAGACTTGCAAAGAAGTTTTCTTTAATCTGAATAGCATTGCAGTGGGCAGATACATACTCCATTATGTAACAGCTTTCTAACAGCAAAATAAAAGATTTGGCAGCACATTTGCAATCTGTTGAATGTTATTGTAGAAATGCCTTTTGTTCTACCGTTCCAAACAAATAACAGCCATGTCATATTGAATAACTTGGAAACCACCTGCTCCCTCCACACGTGTGAACACATTCACGGAATCATTGTTTCTTCCACTGGGAACATTCAGACAATGTTCCAGAGGAATGTCAGAATTTAAGAATCTCTCTAACCCTGCCTTTGTATCTGCTTGCCTTCCTGAATGGACAGCTCTTGCAAGAAGGAACTGAGCCACATAGATAGGATGGTATCCATTGCAAATGCCAAGGCGTCTATATCTCCGCTAACATTTGCTCAGAAGGAAGTCCAGAGGAACCTCATATCCATGCGCTCAAAGAGAGAAAATAAGGTAGGTCTCAACAAGTCACCTCCGTTCATAGTTAGTGGCTGGAGAAACGTAGTGATTTTCCATTTTACAAGGCACAGGTTGTACACAAAATAACATTTTATAAGTAATTTTGCCAACTACTTTGTTAAATGTCTGAGAAAGCAATCTTGTCATATTGAATGATAAAATCTTGTGCTGTTGCCATGCCTGAAACAAGATTAGGACTTGGCTCCAAGTAGTAGACCCAAACTCATACTTGGACTCCAAGTTTTAATGACTAGCATGCAAATCTGGTTTCTGTTACTCAAAACCAATCTCTTTTATACTGAAATCTCTCTTAGGCAAAGCAGCTCAAGACTCTGCGCGCTCGCCAGCGCTCACTGCTTGCCAAGCTGAGTGGTTCGGATATCGGTCTTCAGATGTCAGATGATGAAGCAGGTGAGGACCAAAAGTCTTTCAATTTCTCTCCTCTTAATAAGTTGCACATGTTCTGTGGGTCCTGTGCCAAGCATATTTGAACTTAAATCCCACTAAAGGGATGTCATTTTTGTGGGATTAAGTACACACCATCTCTTGCTTTTGCCCTTAGTGGATTAAATGAGCTCTGTAAGGCATCAAAAACATTTCACATGCTGTAATTAGCCATCTAGACAATCCCGTCTGGGCGCACACCATCTGAAAATATTAAAGACATGCAAGGCCATTTTAGTCTGCTAGATGCATAGAAGTGAAATGCAGAATACACTTTTAGGGACTCGCTGAAATCTCCAGAATGGCATGACCTTTGTTTTAGCCATGATTTCATCAGCATCTGATCAAGTAGCTGTGGTTATATAAGCTCATGCTTTGCTAATAAAGTTTCAGTCAGTCTTGAAAGTGCAATCGGTGTTTCACTCCATTGGCAGTCCTAGGCATCCTAGCTCGTTGTCATCCATGGTTAATCAGTTGCATACAGGATCACACTCCACTCCCAGTTGGGCAGAAGCATAGTAAACAGCCTTGTTTGTAATACTTGCTGTTAAACCTCATTAAACATGGGAAACTCTATGTAATACTTGTGTATTTGCTTCTGTGTATGTAGATAATGAAGACAGGAATGTGCAGACTTACCAGCATTTCCTATGCAGCAGCCCTTCTTCTGATGGTGTGCCGAGTAAACCAGCAGAGGAGACAGAACAAGAACGCCTCATCCGACTCGGGGAGATGACTCCCTTCGGCTCCACGGTCCAGTCAAAAGCCTCCACCAGCAAGACGTCTGCTCCCAAGCCCATGACCGACTTTGAGAAGTTCATGGCACAGAAGACGGAGGATGACATGACGCGGCGAAGGAAGGTCCTGGTGCGCAAGAAGACACCTGTCAAAGTTAAGGTGGAGTCTGCCAAGCCAAGGACCCCAGAGCAGAAGGCTCAAGGAGAGACACTAAGCAGGAAGATTCCATCATCTAAGTCAAAAGCATGGAGCAAATTTGAAAAGAAGTGCATTGAATCTTCAGGAAAGCGAAAATCTGAAAGCTCAAAGAAGGAAACAGTAAGGAAAGCCAGCCAGAGTAAGGAGGAGTCTGTCAGTGACTCGTCGGAGGATGAAACTTACTTTGTTTACAAGCCGGTCAGGAGTGAGTCATCCAGCCAGCCAAAGGCTCGTGTGAGAAGCAGAAAAGCTAACAGAGACCTGAGACCTCATTGGGGGAGTGATGAAGACTTGAGTGACTACTATGACGAGAACGACGCGGACAGCGCGGGAAGTGACGAGGAGTACACGCCAGGGTTTGACGACTTGTCACAGCCGTCAGACGAGGGTAAATGTACTAGCTGTGGATGTGTGGTCCAGTGGTTAGAGTTTGTTACTCCAGATCATCAGGTTAAGGTTCGAATCCCATGCCGGGGCATACTTTGTGACCTTTTGCAAGTCGCGCTAGCTACCCTACTTGTCTAGCTAGCTAGCTACTTGTCTTTCCCTCTATCATGGAATATTTATAAATGAGTACCTATGAGGGCAGAAAGGGTTTTACGGTTGAGTGGCTAGGTAATACCTGAAAAGGCTAGAGGGAGCTGAGATGGTTTGTAGGAATGCTTTTGGTCCAGTAAATAGGGATAATGTGGATGTACAGTGCATTAGGAGTTGCATGGTACTGTAACTTATTAAATGAATGCACCATGTTATTTTAATAGCCAATGATATTCTAGGAAAGTTCAAACTTTTTTGAGAGTTACCTATTTTGAAGGACAAGCTTGTTGACTTATTGTTGACTTGCTGAAAGTTATTCTTTCTGCAGAGGGACACAAGATGTGCAAATGAAGAAACCCTCCATGTGTATTCTGAAGAACTCTCAATTCTGAAGTACTTTTTTCTTATCTTGTGATGTCCAGATGATGTACATAGCTCTCCCCTCAAGAAAAGGACCAAGCGGCGTGGCCGGAAGGCCAAAGTCACCACTGAGGACTTTGAAGATGGAACAATTGCCTGTCTGGATGATCTTAAGAGAGCCTACGGTGTCAATGTCAAACGTTCTGGTGGCCAACGCAAGTCAAAATGCAAAGATGACGCCACACAGGACATGTACTACCGCAGACTGAAGTAAGCCCTGGGCGCCGGTGCCCGAGTGTGCTACCTTGTGCCCAATCCAGCTTCCTGCATTTCTGCAGTTATGAGCCCTACTTTTGCTTATAGAAACTTTGTCATAACTGTGTAGGCACAAAATCCCCAGCTATAAAAGAGATTTACATTACTTAATCCGTAAAGCCTTAATCCGTTAATCTGAAAAATGCACTAAGCATTAATTAGTTAAAAAATCATGCATAATACTCCAAATTAATTCTAAAATATGTCTGTGGCCAGTTTTGACTACAAAATTGACCCATGTGATTGGTACCGCAAAAACCCATAGAAAGGCAGAGGGAAGGCAGTGGAGGTAATTTACAGATTTGCCATCAGAAAGAAATTCTCCAGCATGTAATTACTAACAAAATACCCCTTTTAATCCACTGGTAAACTACCATGGACATGCCAGTATTGTGTATGTGTTTTTTCCTAGGGAACATCGCAGGTCAGAGTTACGTAAGAAGCAGCATCGTATTGAGCAAGGTGACATTGACAGCGACTCGGAACCCGAAGACATGCAGTTTGACGGTGGACTGACCATACCTGGCAAGATCTGGTCCAAACTCTACAAGTAAACAAATCTCCTTGCATTCACTTATGTAGTCCAACATGATCAAGCTCATCACAACACTGCAGCAAGATTTCTTGTCCCTCGTGAATCAGTGCAAAGATTCATCCGATATCGAACTTCTTGGAAAGTTCCCTTGTCACTGAACAAACAGCAGTCCTTTTGTCTCCAAAGTTTTTACTGAAAATATTATTTCCTTTTCATGTCAATTAATAGTAAGCACTACAGTCTTTAATTTACTTGTAGCCAAAATCTTTTGCAGATTTACTCATTATCAAAAACAAAGTAACTGTGTTAGCTTAAATGTTTTCAGCTTAGCCTAAGTATGTCAATTACACAAAATTTCTTCATTTAGTAATAAAGCACTGAAAATGTGTTGTTTCATTCTTGCACTGTTGACAACTTTGGAGGTTCAAGATGCCTGAGGAATTGGGGTCAAGGGATAGATTGCAATGAAAGAGAAACTATGGCTTGTTTTTCTGCCTGCGGCAGGTACCAGAAAGTTGGAGTCAAGTGGTTATGGGAGCTACATCAGCAGCAAGCTGGTGGCATTGTGGGAGATGAGATGGGCCTTGGCAAGACCATTCAAATGATTGCCTTCTTTGCCGGACTGAAAGCCAGTAAATTGCGTAACCCTGGATCAAGGTGGGTGTGCAAACCTGAAGATAATTTCTGAACCAGTGTTTCAACTGTCAAGGGCCTTGGTTCATTAAATATTGTATTTTCAACAGACTTAAAGAGGTACCGTAACGTGGGGTTACTTTGGGCCATATTTTACATTTATGTTATCATTTCTTCTTAGTTAAACGCAATCAATTTCAATTTCCCTTCTTTTCAGAGCATTGTGATGCTCATCTGAACTTCGATGTTGAAAAAAAAAGGAATTTCAAAATTTTTTGGTGTCTGAGGGCTTAAAAAATGGGTGACCAAAGTTACGCTGGGTTTGGGGCAACATTGGCCACCTTTTGTTTTTGGTCCTCATCAAAACGGGGTGTGAAAATCAAAATAAAAATGGTTACCATGGATACCACAAACAAAGGAAATGTTAAATAATGAATAACTATGATATTTCTGAATAAAATGATACTAAATACATCCGCATTCACTCTGTGTTTGAGAGAATAACAACGTTTCAAACCCTGTAGTGGTTACTGACCAAAGTTACCCCGCTGACCAAAGTTACATGTAGCTTTTTGGGGCTGTTTTAATTTGTCATTCTTCACCAGCAGCAAAAGAATCCTACCTGATTGGTTGACTTTGTCGCGATTTTGTTGAAAAATGGTAACAGTTGTATCAGTTGGAACTTTAAAGGATTTCATAATAAATCCAAGAGTTTCATGTATGCTTCAGTAGTCAATGAGCGAAGAGAATTTCATTTTTCAAAGTATGTAACAAAATTCAACATAAAATCTTTTTCCTACTCATATTATCAATAATTCCTTAAATTTGAGGATGTTAGTAGCATCCTTAAATTTTGACTATGAAGAACGCAGTAGTTTGACCTACGGATAATTTCTGAAAAGTTGTGTAAATATATTAACGGTGCTGTTACTTCTCAGGTATATTGGTCTTGGCCCAGTATTGATTGTCTGCCCAGCCACCGTGATGCACCAGTGGGTCAAAGAATACCACAAATGGCTGCCCGAGATGAGGGTAGCAATCCTGCATGACTCTGGGTCACATACAGGGACCAAGGTAACGACCAGTCATTAGCAACGAGTGATTGGTTGGGACTAGTAATCAAGTAGAACCTGATAGGCTAGGCTGCTCCTTTCTCTCGAATATTTAAAGCCCTGGTCAGAATCTGAGACTGAAGGTGCACTTTGCTAAGGAAGCACCGTTGTCAATGTCAGGAAATTCATTTTCAGTTTTGCCAAATGTATGAGTTGACCTTGAAGGGAATGGATTCAGAATGAATTATCAGGATAGAAGTTTTCTTTTAATGTTTAATATTTCCCTCACACCCTGAAGATTTTTTTTTACCCACTCGACAGTTAATTCTTCCACACCATCATTCACCTGACTTGGATTTTTGCATGATTTGCAACCAGTATGAATACTCCCAAGTGCCAGTCTACAAAAAAAAATTGATTTATCTGGAAAAAATAATTTTTTTAAACCATTCATTTTTTGTGTTAAAATTGATCTCATGGAGGATTAAAGTAAATGCCTGGACGCGGTGCACCTCAAAATTACTTGGTAAAACCCTTGGCTGTTTGAGATAGGTGGAAGAAATGTTAACTGCTTTATTTCCTTTAAAACACCTGACATACACTGTTGAATACCTTTATTACTTGGCCATGTTTTTCTTTTGTACAACAGAGAGCCTTGATACATGATATAGCCCTTAGTCATGGAACCTTAGTAACCTCGTACTCTGGGGTGCGCCTGCGAGAGGAACTGTTACTCAAGCATGATTGGCATTACATCGTGCTGGACGAGGGACACAAGATACGCAACCCCGATGCTGCCGTCACTCGAACATGCAAACAGGTGAGATCTCTGTTTTCAAGAGCAGATCTTTACAGGCATGCAACTTTTCTTCGGATCAGCTGATTTTGTTTTTCACTTCACACTCCTGCCATTGAAACTAGAAAAAACATTACAAATAGTCTAGCAAAGATAGGAATATCCTCATTTTGTCAAAGTCCAAGTTGCATGCCTGTCTTTATTCCCTCTTGTATCCACTCCGTGCATGGAAAAGCGATGGTACATTTTTTGCATAAATGTAGCAAAAAAAGAAAGGCAAAAAGGCTATATAGGTTCATTCAGGTCTGGCATAGGTTGTCCTGAGCACACGCAACTAATTTCTTTGGGACTGCACAATCTTTGCATATAAGCAGCAGATGCGTGTGCGAGTCTGATGGCGAAAATTTCAACCAACCTGTCTCTTCTTTGCTGTTGAAGGGAAACTTTTAGTTGGAGAGGAGTGAGTGGGCTTTCCATTCCAAAAAGTAGGCATTTTAGTTAAGCACAGGTTACAGGCAGAAAAACAGTTTGACGGGGGATCCAGAAAAGGTGTTCAGCACCACAGTTAGTTGGCACAAAATTTCCAGTAGAGAAAATTGTGCCCAAACTGTCATTAGCATCAACATTGTTCTAAAAATATAGGCTGGCAAATCATGCCCTGGCCAGAACTGCATTGAAAGGGCAATATCTTTTGCCAGGAAATATTAGACTTGATTCTGGAAACTTTGATATGCCCGTATAGTTTGGGTTGCCATAATAGCTATGGTTGGCTGTGGAACAAAACTGTATGCATTGTATCGACATTCTGCTTTACCTTGCACCCGTGTGGAATTCTTTCAACATCCATCAGAATGGATCCTTGCTGGTTTAATCTGACTGAATGGTTTTGATAAATTTTTTTCTTTGTGGTACTTTTGCGATATAAAGATAATTTTTAAAGAACAGGTAATTGTTGATATTACATATTGTTCTCTCCTGAAAGGGTACTTCTTTACTTCAAATCAATCTTTCAGTTATCGGTTATAAATTGAATTCTCTTCATTTCTTCCCTTTTAAAACCGATTATAGTTCCGCACGTGCCATCGGATCATCCTGTCTGGTTCCCCGATGCAGAACAATCTCCGTGAGCTCTGGTCTCTCATTGACTTTGTCTTTCCCGGCAAGCTGGGTACCCTGCCGGTATTCATGGAGAAGTTCTCAGTGCCAATCACAATTGGGGGCTACTCAAATGCCACGCAGATACAGGTACGAACAAAACCCTCAAGGTTATTCTTTAAAACTTCACACTTGTAGCATTTAAAATACTAACCCTAAGTTTCCCCAGATCCTTTAAAATCCACCAGGAGCTTTGGAAGAGTTTTCTCGGTTGTGGAAAGTAGAGCCCAGCCGTTATTAAGGTAATAGGTACATGCTTGGCTGGTGTTAAATGTTTGTTTAAGACTGGCCCAGGAGAATGGACAGGAATAATGCCTGAGCTACGGCGTCCGTTCTTCCGAGCCAGTCTTAAACATCATTGGCCAAGTGCATATTTATTCCCATTCATAAATACCTCTTGAGTCACAAAGTCAAAAGAAGTTTTGAAAAGTATAAATTTCCAACAATTTTTATCGACAATTTAACTTCATTTTTAGACACCCCTACACCATATTGGGGTATGTTCCTCTCACAAGGAGTTCTAAAAAATCTCTTAATATGGAGATAACCCTGCAAATAGCACATATGGCATGAGGTGGTCCACAGCCAGCTGGCATTTTATCAACCTATCAAGACCAGCCAAAGCTTCGAGATAAATGGATATGGCATTGGCCCGCTACGCAATGGAAGATGTTTGGAGATTCGGTATAGTTTCTTCCAGAAAAACCTAGGATTAATATATTGCTTACAAATTATACATGCGCTCATATTTTCCCGTTGAACTGCAGGTGCAGACTGCTTACAAGTGTGCCACCGTACTTCGGGACACTATCAACCCTTACCTCCTCAGACGACTCAAGGCAGATGTCAAACAGAATCTCCAGCTACCAGATAAGAACGAGCAGGTCTTGTTCTGCCGCCTGACGGAGGACCAGATCCAACTGTACAAGGAATATCTGAACTCCAAGGAATGTCAGCTCATACTGAACAGGGAGTATCAGGTATATTATAAGATATATGTATATTGTTTAGCAGTGAGGGCACTAGTGATATCAGCCAAATCATGTGGTATTTGCATATTGACTGGCAATGAGGGCACTAGCAATATCAGCCAAATTATGTGATATTTGCATATTGACTGGCCATAGGGGCACCAGCGAGAGTATCAGGGAATCATGTGGCTATGTACCGTACATATTGACTGGCATTGAGGGCATTCTCACAGGTCCCTTGTCTGACCACTTGTAAATTCATTTGTTCATTCAGTAAGTACCCAATTATATGGTAATATTTTCTAAATATTAGATGGTATTGCACAACTGTTTGCCCAAGTTCTTTGAAAAATCCAGTCTTAATAAAGACCAATTATTTTATTTACATTGTTTTGTTGTTTTATTACCCTGTTGTGTTGTCTAGGTATTTGCCGGTCTCATAACTCTGCGGAAGATCTGCAATCACCCAGACCTGGTCAGTGGGGGCCCCAAGATCATCAAGGGTGACAAGAGTGCTGAGGCCATTGAGGCTGCTAATGATCCCGCAATGCAATACGGCTACTGGCAACGATCAGGGAAGATGATCGTGGTCAACTCTCTACTAAAGCTGTGGCATAACCAGGGCCATAGGGTCCTGCTGTTCTCGCAAAGCAAGCAGGTAGGAATGGTCTTGTACTAATTCTTAATCCCATCTGTCATAGTACTCCTCTGTATATTTTATGACTGCAAGTAAATACGCAGATACTGACTCTTTCAGAGTTTACATCCATCACCAAGTTTTGCCCTCGAGGAGCAGCACTATTGCCTGCATTTTTATAAACAAGACAAGGGTTGAGAAGTTGTGCCATCCTAGTTTATATCTCATGTGACTACTGCCCTCAAGGTAGTGTAATAGTAAAACCATCTTCAATATTGTTGTAAGACCGTGGCACAAATAACTGTGACTTGACAGCGGGAAAAATAGTTTTCTTGTAATAAGCGATTTCATGTAGGATGTACAGTATGGCAATACTGACCACTCAGCTGGGCAGTAGCTACTAAAACCATAATAGCTCTATAGGGCGACAGACATGACTTACACAGGGCGTCGCTCTGGAAACATCTTAGCCAAACTTGTACACCCTGCAGAATATTCGGCTATGCAGTTTTCAAACTGAGCATCTATATACTTAATATTTTTGTATGTGCACAGATGCTGGACATTATTGAGGACTGTGTGAAGCACACTTACTCCTACATGCGCATGGATGGCTCTACCTCCATTTCAACGCGCCAACCTCTCATACAGCAGTTCAATAGTGTAAGTGTGTGACTGTTGTAATCTTTTTAATGGTCTCCTCCTTTGATGCAGAGTTCAAAGTTTAGCTTTAAGTTTGAATTCAGTGACAAAGAATATTATGGTTTCTCTTGTGTTTATCTTGACAAATGGTTCCATTTCTCAATTGTTTGTTGACACAACTTGTTCTGTTCGTGACTTTTGAATCAAAAACAGGACCCATCCATCTTTGTGTTCCTGTTGACCACTCGCGTGGGCGGCCTGGGGGTCAATCTGACCGGGGCTAATCGAGTGGTCATCTTTGACCCCGACTGGAACCCGAGCACTGACACCCAGGCCAGAGAACGGGCGTGGCGCATCGGCCAGAGCCGTCAGGTCACAATCTACCGGCTGATCACCACCGGCACCATAGAGGAGAAGATATACCACAGGTGGGAGAAAAAAATCACATTCTGCATGATCAGTTTACCGGAACCCTTCCCTTGCACTCTAAGATTCTTTCTAATCTACCAGGACCTTTTTTGGAAGATCTTGCGGGATCAAAGAAAGAAGAATTCAGCCGCTTTTAGTTTACGCAGGGCTTGATGCCCCACCAAAGGTGAAATTTAAGGCATGTGCCATTCCAAGATTTGAGAGAATTCAGTATGATTACCTTAAACAAATGCCTTCAGAGTAAAGGCGCTTTTCCATATGCATCAACACTTGCACTAAGTGTTGCGTATCCGTCAAAATCATTACTGTGGCGATTTGGAAGGCCGAATGCATTGCACACATGTGTTATGTCAATGGAGTCAATTTTTGTGTCCATGAAAGTGAAATGCATGAATGTATCGTGTATGCAACGCACCATAAAAACATACATATGGAAAGGTGCCTTCAGGATTAAAACTGCTATTAGATCCATGTGCGTCATTGCCCTCTAGATGTAGAAATTGGAATGTTACATTTAAGTTAGTTCATCTAGGCATGAGATGAGTCATGTTTACAGAGTTCATTAGTGTGAACATTATTCTGAAATATATAGGAAGATATTTCAACTGTTGATGGGCATCATGACATGCATCCAGCGAGCAAGGTTTGTGCTTGACGCGCACAAGCTAGTTCTATGCATTATCAAAATGTTCTTTATGGTTTTTGTGAGTAGATGGCACAAGCAGGGCATTTGTTTGTTCAGTCAAGGTAGCCTGATCATGGACTAACTGATTCTTGTCTAGTCCCTGAAGAAAAAGGATGGAAATCTCTGTAACATAAGTGGAAGTAAAACTAGGAAAACAGTCCCTTTGATACTCTGGTTGACTAGAAAAGGGCTTAGATATCAGATTTTTGTTGTGACTGTGGTTCAGGAAAGCTGCTCACGCAGATCACACAGGGTAATGATCTCTGGTGTTCTCTGTTATCCAGGCAAATTTTCAAGCAGTTCTTGACCAATCGTGTCCTCAAAGATCCCCGCCAGCGGCGGTTCTTCAAATCCAACGACCTCTTCGAGCTCTTCACTCTGGGTTCGGACAGCAGCAAGCACGGCACAGAGACCAGCGCCATCTTTGCCGGTGTTGGGTCAGACGTGAAGGTCAGGACATCCCACTCCAGCCCGCTTAGGAGAAAGTCCATTGAAAAGACCAGTGATGGGAGGACAAAAGAGGACGTAATTAGAAAGAGAACTTCAATCCTGAGAATTGAAGATGGGGAGAAGGCACTGGAAGATTCAATGGAGGATGTACCTGGATGCAGTCAGTCTCTGTTGAATAGAACCCTAGCTGACCCAGGGCCCAGCAAGGGAAATGGTGATAGAGAGCCCCCAGGGATCTCCGAGGAAAGACGGTCCAATTTGAAAAAGTCTCCACTACTCAAGGCCTCTTCTTCACCATCATCACCTAGGAAAAATGGCATTCTCCAAGCAGAGAGGAAGAAAAAGAAAAAGAAAGATGCACGTAAGTACATCATGAGAAAATGAAGCCAGTCTACCCCATTCAAATCCGTAACAACACCGCTTTTTAATTTCTACAAGTATGATGGTACCTTTTACATATCTCTTTTGAAATAATCATCAGACTATTTTAAATCGGAGTTTGACAAATAATTCCTTTATTTTTGGTCCAATTAGGACTTGATGGTCATCGCATAGCACACTTGGCCAAACATGCAGTGTACTGTCCTAGGTCAGAGAAAGAGGAGAAGCCAGCTCTGAGTGATGCTCAGCAAGATGACTACGTTCTCACCAAACTCCTCAAGAAATCAGGTCAGTGATACTCTCGAAAGGTAGTGGAATTCTTGCTTCTTGAACTCTCAACTTCCTTAAGCTTTCACCTGTTGTAGACAGAGTACTGTAGCTGCAGTGGGATTTCTCTCTTGGTGATGCAAACCTGAAAATGCATCTCAGTTAACTTCTTTTTCAATTCTGTGTACTATTTGTAAAGGGTGTTTTGTTCCTTTTTGGGGTTTCATGCCGATGAGTTTTTCCATAGTCATGAGCAAAATTGTGATATCATCCCAGGAATACAACCTCAGTGTGATATTGGTTTGTACGCAAAAGCCCCTGCATCATTTTTGAGATTTTGCTGGCCGAAAATATATCTATTTAGGTGATTCATTGTTGTGTACTAAGTACATAGCAGTAAGCAAGCATTCAACCGTTTCTCAGAAATGTTTTAATTGAATGAATTCTGGGTTTACAATTTGAAGAGAAAAGCTATGAGCTGAACCATGTCTTCCTTAGATGGCATCACAGAAACAGCGCCCTAAATTGTCCCGAAAATCAGGAATAATTACAGATGTTTTAAAATGTCCACTTTTCATTGCAGCCACATTTTAAAAGGTTAACAGACAAGTATTCTGTGGATAAAAGAGATAAGTGATTTACCACAGTGCAAAGGGGACTCCACAATACACTTATGCACTCTCTTACATGTTTAGAAAGACACCAATTTGTGTCAACATTTTACCCCTCCTCCCTTGTTTGTCACAACTCTGCAGTGCACAGTGCCCTCCAGCATGACAACATCATGCAGTCCGGCCATCCGGACTACCTCTTGGTGGAGGGGGAGGCAGACCGGGTGGCCAGGGATGCTGTGCAGGCCCTGCGGGAATCTCGACGGCACTGCCACCGGGCATCATCTGGGGTGCCTACCTGGACTGGGTCAGGAAACCAGGGAAGCAGCACACCACCGCCTAAAAAGTAAGGACAGTATTTGTCAAACTTGATCTGTTCATAGTAAGGGCAATATTTGTCAAACTTGAGTAACATAGTGAATGCAATCTTTGTCCAAAATGAGCAATTCAGTGTTCCTTAAGTTTTGAACAATATATTTTTAATGATCAATAAAAAAAATGTTCAAAGTGAAATCAGGTACTTCCATTTGACATGAAAACTGTCTAACCGCGTGCAAAAAGAATGCTTTTCAGTGTGTAAGGAGTTGACCTTTACTGTGTTTACACATAATACACTGCAGAAAACAGCTTGTCTATTGTAAACTCTATCATTTTGCCTGAACTTTTTCTCCCCAGACCAAGATTTGGACAGAAATCCAATAGCAATGTTGCTTGTCTTCTCAGCAGCAGCAAGGTACAAAGAGACAAAGACAAACAGCAGGTAAGACCATCAATCAAGCACTGCCTTATTTTTGACTTCTCAAGACTCAAGACTACAGATTGAACGTTGATCACTACATTCTTGAACCGTGGGCCATGTTTTCATGTATGGTTTTATTTTACCCTTTAACACGGTACCGTGACTAGTAGGCACCAGATGACAAGTAGGCTAATCTTGTCAGTCAGTCAGTCGAGTCAGTCGAGTCAGTCAAGTCAGTCAGTCAGTTAGTTGAACCAAGGCTAGTCTCCAGATGACATATTCACCATTTTTTCTGTCTACAGGGACAAGCACCTGCTACTCCCAACCCCAAAGCTGGACACTTTTCAGGGACAGAGCTGATTAAGACGGCAGCATCCAAGGCCAGCACCAAGGCGGCTGCCCTGCCACCTTCCGAATCTCTATTGGCCCAGATGAGGAGGCGTAACTCTGCCACTGCCTCTGGCCCAGTTAGCCAGGATTCGGTGGGGTCGAGCACGGTGGCAGTGGACCAGCCCCGGCAGGACCTGCTGGCAGACATCAGGGACTTTGTGGCCTTCCAGGCCGAGACCAGCAGCCAAGCCAGCACGGCCGAGATCCTGCAGAAGTTCAAGGCAAAGCTGCCAGCCAACGACTCGGCTCTGTTCAAGTCCATGCTGAAAGAGATCTGTACCTTCCAGCGGATGAATGGCGAGGGAATCTGGAAACTCAAAGAGGACTTCCGCTGAAATAAATGAGAAGCCAAATGAGGTCAGTTTGCTTTGACAACACCATCAAACGCTTTGACAACACCATTAAATACTTTGACAACATCATCAAATAACTTTTGCAACACCATCAAATACTTTGGCAACACCATCACATGCTTTGGCAACACCACCAAACACTTTGAAACACCAAATAATTTGACAACATCAGCAAATGTTTTTGACGTCATCAGGTATTTTAACAACACTATCAAATCTTTTGACAACACCGGCAACACTTTGGCAAACCACCAAATATTTTGCAAGTGACAGCAATACTCCTGTTACATGTATTTTAACATACTTAAACACCATTGATTTCATGACTGCACATAATTGTACTTGTGCATTACATAAGATATGTATGTACTCTATTATCAGGGAAAATACCATTTTCTACTTTTCTGTGTCTAAAAGAATTCACCCAACATCACACCAGGTCTAAAAGTGTTGTAATAATGTCCTCCACGGATCCCTCGAAGTCAGACACAAGTCCAGTTTTAAGCCAAGTCAGAAGATATACACATCTCGCGAAAGGACTTGTGACTAGGCTTGTGAAGGGACATCCGACGGGATTTGTGACGGACTGGATTACAACACTGAAGTCTAAAAGTAGTACTACAAGGTGCCGAAAGTCAAAGATCAGCTACTGTTTGGGAAATACATACAGTTATCTCAACTGTTTCTTTAAATATCATGCTAAGTGTAACTCTTGTATTCAACATGTCTGTCCAGAAATTACACTTTAAATTTTAAATTACAGTACGAAATAAGTACGAAATTGGACTTTTGAAGAATCTCTCACATTGGAAGGACACAAAGGTGTCAATAAAAAGTGGCCCTAGCAGTCACAGTGACCCAGAACCAATCTCATGAGGTTGCCACGCAAAAATTACTCTTCAACCAATTCATGTGCTAAGCATAAATTGGCTGAGGACCAGCCACAAGCAGCATACAGTGCATGTCGTTTAAGCTGGTAGCCTACGTTTGCTGTGGAATCGCCATGACATTGGCTTCATGTCAGAAGTCAGCCAAGGAGATCAGCCAGAAACCTGCATCACAACGGTAAACAGTATCTCAGGAAAGGGACAAGGCCTATCTAATTTTGTAAAACTTTGTTCTTGAATGGGGGGGGGCACTTGTTTTTCTTAATTTTTTTCATGTAAGGCGCTTGCAACTGGAAATGTGGACTTTCCATAAATTTGTTTATTTGTTGGTTTTTAGTTGTATGTCAATTCTCAATTACGGTTGCTATTTTTTTCTCATATTTATCATAGGGCCTGTAAAAAAATGTTTAAGTTCGGAAAAAGCACTGGATAGAAAAAAAATTTGCAGCAAATACAAGACTTTTAAAGAAGAGGAAGTGAACATTTTGTAGTTTGAATGACACCTAGAACATGTATCTAGACATCGAGTGAAAGTTGTAGTCCTTATAATGCAATTTTCCTCCCAGTAAACCCATTTTCTCACCGGGATGGTTCTGAATGCAAACAATGACCCTCTTTGAACTACACAGTTAGCCATTGTTAGTCTCCAGAACCATCCCATGCTGGGAAGTGGTTATGGATGTGATGGAGTGCATTGTATGCCCCACTCTCACCGGTAGCATAGGGCAAAATGTATGTGTACTCCAAATCTTTTGTACAAAGGAGTTTAAAAAATTGTCATGCGGGTTATACGTCACTGCATTGTGCTCTTCCAACACCTTTTTAATGTCACTGGGAATTGCATGTATCTTAAAGCACGGATTTCAACTTCTCTCTGTTCATTTTAAGTTTGGTGTAAAGATGCTTTAAACTCGTGCTTAAAATGTACATGTGGGTGTGTATGTGGACCATGTAAAAGATGATTAATTTCATGGCTAGATGATTTCACTGAAAAAAAAAGAGGGACTAGATTGATTCCACTTGCGATTTTTATAATGATCCTTTAAACTGCAGACGGTGTTGAGCAGAAAAATGGCTGGAGAATAGTTTGATCAGCAAACGTTGTCTGAGAAGTTTCTGACAACAAGACTAACATACAAATATAGTATGGTTTGAGAGTGGATAGTTGATGTTAGCTCCCCAAGATTATTGGAAGTAGTTTGTCAATTTCCAATACCGAGGGAAGCTAACATCAACTATTCACCCGGAGTGAAAACCATGTTTATAAATTTGTTTTACCTTGCCTCATACATGATGCAGTTGCCATCATCATCTCAGGCATCATTTAAAGCACTGATCGACATGTACATGTGCGGCCATCTGTTAAGCCAGGATGGCGCCTGTGCCTGCGCAGGTCATGTAGCTTCAAAAGCACATGCATAGTAAACTATTTCCAGGTTGAGCCAGGGAAGAAGTTGAATAACAGTGAGTGTTCACAATCAGGTTATTAAGTAAACACATTATTGCAATGTATAAGTTGTTTACTTTAATCATGTAAAAATTGAATTTTGCATATTGAGAGAGGAAAAAATAAAGCCCCAAACGAAACCAATACACTTTCTGACTTTCCTTTAGTTGTGTTCGTTTCATGGCAGAGTTTTTATTAAAGATGGTACAAGTTTTTTCCAGGATATTTGCATGTAACATGAATTTTTAATTTTAACTGTGTTTTAACTGCCAAATAAAAATTAAACATGCGAAGCGAGCATAATTTTTTTTGGTTTGTTTGATTTATTGTGTTTGTAACTCCTTGTTTGTCAGTCTTTTGAGATTTTTGTTTTAAATGTTTGTCATGTCAGCAAGATGTTTATTGTAGTATAACCAATTTGTTAGTGTTTTGAATGGCCTAGTCGTAATACATCGCCGCACAATAATTTGCTTCCCGCTGTAGGATTAATCGTATCAAGCATGAGTTACAAATACGCGACATTCAAATCATTGAGAACGTACGTTGTGCCGCACCATACTCACTGTTATGTGTTAATGAGGTCTGTGTTTAACCACAAAAATAAATATTGAAAAATCGAACAAACCCTCTGCGTCGCTCTGCACTTGAAAGTTCACAGTGTGAATAGGAATGGGAAATTTCGCATTGACATTCGCATGTCACAAGGTGTAAAAATGTTTTTCAACTCCCGTGAAGAAGCGTGAAAATGTTTTGCCACTGTGGGAGAAGCTTTTCACGATTATTTTGTGAAATGAGAATGAATATCTATGGAGAAAATTCCCCATTCCCAGGTTTAACTTTCTCATAATCGTTCGAACTCGTTTTATTTATGTGTACTTTTTAATTTAATTATTTTATATCTTCGGAGAAAGGTTGTAAGTCCCTTAGACACTGGGAAACAAAAATTTCTTGGTCAAGACAAAAGTTTGTGAAACTATCACAAAAATTACTGACGAGTCTGACCATGCAGAGACAGATTGAAGTTTTTATAGCGTGTTGCTTGGGTATTCAGGCGTGTAATACCATAATTTATAGCACTTTGACATGCTAGAAAACTTCACGTGTGTTTTTCCCCCCTTTGCAATGTTGAAAGAAATGTTACCGAGTACCATCTACAAGGGGTTTCTACATTGGCACCGAAATCAAACTCTACATCAGCATCATCTAGTATGTTGTCAATAGGCCGACCATTAAATACTTTGCCAACCAATCGAAACTTTGGCAACACTTTTCACACCACAGAGCCCTGAATATTACGAACCACTGCTTGCTGTAGCTAGTGTTCACTTATAAATGGCCTAGATTTTTAAATGCCCCATGCCCCATGATTTCACTCAACAGCGAAGCAAAAACTGTTGTATGTCTACTGCATGTTGGGCTCAAAACTCCAAAACAAAAGTTAGCTGTGGACATTTTGAAATAATCTGTGCTCTGACTGTTGTTTCAGTGTTTTTTCCTTGAAGCGGTTAAGCCAAACGTTGCAGACCTAGTGAGTCACTTAATCACGGCTTGCGAGATAAAAACACAACTATCAAAATCGAGAGAATTGTACTCTGCCGTACCATGCCCCCTGTATTTACAAATTCGTCAGTCATAAACGATGAGGTCAGTGTTTACCGGAATAGTTAAATATTAACAAAAGTCAACAAATCTTGCATACCACCTTGTACCGCGCCTATGATCTTCATCGCACACAGCAAGCCTGTGTTACGGCGTCATTTTAATAAGTTTTCCTATTATAATCCTGATACAGTTCCATTCCCGCCCAGTACAACCACAGAACATACAGCCAAGCATCCTGATTGGTCAGTTCTACTGATAACAATTTCCAGGCAGACGACAATCGCGTCTGTCACAAGTTGTAGGGTCCAAAGGTACGGATTTATTATTTACTTTCCTCGGGCAAGCGCCATTTTGTTCATGGTACGCATACACTCTCCACAGCGCAGTTCAAATTTTGGGCCACCGTTTTGAGTAAACTTCTGGATTTTAGAGCGAAATTTTGCCTACAAAATGAGCGGAAGAGACCCGGGAAAGATCGATATGGTCGACGATGAGACTGAGGAGCGGCCGATCACGACCTTCGAGAAATACGTCCAGTCGACATTTGCCGAGCTGGTGGGCACCATGTTCTTCACATTCATCGCGTGTCTGGCAGTTACGACGCAGGACCTGGTGGCCATTGCCTTCGCTGAGGGCTTAGCCATGGCGCTTCTGTGTTCTGCCTTCCTAAACATCAGGTTTGTTGTTTCCTTCTCTCTTCAGCATCTTTTGATGTTTTTAGTTTGCGCAAAAGGCCGTGTATGTGTTATGTATTTCGATCCCTTTTCCAGATGACGTAATTTCGAAACCCTTAGTTATCTTTTCTTTCTGTTTTGTACAAGTTGGCCTATTCGACAGAATCTTCTTGAAAAAGGGCAAGAGATTTGAAAATATTGAGGTTTTTATTGATATTTCGGTCGCAAAATTTCCCCGAACACTTTGACAACTTGGCGTCATAAAAATGGGGAGTTAGAATTGCAATTTAGCCTCCAAAGTTAAATTGAAACTGCAAACTGATTGTAAATTCTCGTCCGTGCCAAAGTTTTGTCATTCATGTTGAATTAAAACTTGAAAGGTCTTTCCTAACTAATAGTTAGGGCATTAGCAACCAAGTGTACTGCTATAATACAACGATAAACCGGAATGCTATGTTAAAAACAACGAAAGGGATGTCAAACAGTCATTCACAATGTCCAAGCATTTAACAGAGCACGGGCATCATTATCCCCCGTGAACGAGGAAAAATTCCCGAACGCCGAAGAACGAGCAAGATTCGATCAGCGCCAAGTGACAATGAAAAATATGCTTCTCAGTGCAAGTGGTACTTCTTGACTGTGTTTGAGTACTAAGGTTCAGTGACATTCTGAAATCGGCGGAAAACTAAAGCATTAACCTGTTTCTCGTGGTTGCAGCGGTGGGATCTTCAACCCTGCTCTGACCTTCGCCGTGTGTTTGTGCGGGGGCATCAGCCCACTGCTTGCAGTGTTGTACTTCGTTGTGCAGATCTGTGGAGGAATGCTTGGTGCAGCCTTTGTCAAGGTGAAGTACACAAAATAATTATTAGTCTACGGGGATGAATCCAAGTGAGAACATGCAACACCCCTATAATAGAATAATAAAAATAATAATGATTTGTAATTTTGCCATAAACCCTTTGTAAAATTTGCCTTCCCAAAAATCACTTTCCCTCTTTTTATCATTTGGACCTAAAATTGGTTCTTCTGAGATTCTTGGGGGGAAAGGGATATTGCGTCTGATATTCCAGTTTCAATGAGAACTAAAACAATAGCATCCAATTAAAAATAAACATGCAGCTCAAATACTGGGGAAAAAAATGAAGGCATATGTAACGTGGAAGGCGTTTTGGTGAAGGTACAATAGTTCAAACTTGGACTGAAAGAATATTTTACGTTTACTTGTTTTATTTATTTTTCTCCGGTCTTCATCTAGGCTGTCCTGTTTGAGGATTCGTACTACGACATCCGCGGCGGTTGCAACAAGTTCCGCGGCAGCGTGCCATACGACAAGTACGACTCCCTGCATGTCCTGGGCGTGTCCCCTGGCACGGCCGTCATCATCGAGGCTTTGCTGTCCCTCTTCGTCTACATGTCTTACCTGCAGGCCAACATGGATAACCGGGGCAAACACCTGACGGGACCGCTCGCCTACGGCTTCTCCATCACGGTCGGCATTTTGACAGGGTATGCTTGAAGATACAACTTTTCGAAAGTTGACATTCTATTCACTGCGAAAACTTTGTTTGTCCATGAAACACATTCCTCAACACTTTCTTGCAATCATTTTGTAAACGTCAATATTATCATCTAAACACGTATAAAAAGTGATAGCAAGAAAGTCTTAAGAAAAGTACTCAATGTCTTAACACAGTTTCTGAGTGTTAGGGAGGAGGCATTCTGAGTTTGATATGATTGTATCCTTTGGGGGAGGAAAAAGCGTTCGTAATGGAGTTTGTGGTTTCATTTAAAAGAATGGATGCTTTAATTTTTTTATTTTTTTTAAAACTTTATCTTTCGTTTTGCAAAACCCTATTGTCCATTAATTAAGTTCAGATTGGACGAGATTTTCGGCGTTTATGGTAATCAGTTTGTGTTATTCCCATTGCAGAATGTATTCCTCTGGAGCTTCCTTCAACCCGGCCCGTACCTTCGGCCCCGCCGTGGCCTCAGGCTTTTGGGATGAACAGTACATCTACTGGGCTGGGCCGGTGATTGGTGGTCTGCTTGCTGGAGCTTTCTACAGGTATTAAAACATGCCTTTGTAAAATTTATCTGCAGTTGCTCCTGTGCATTATTGGCTGCAGATTCTGGAAAGGAAATCATCATATTATTATTTAAACAGACTTCCAAATTATTCCGCTGCAGCACCTGACCCCCCTAAAGGGGGACATACCGAACGGGGCAGGGACATCCCCACTTTCGGCACCCATGCTCTCCTGTGACCCGAGCTCAGAATTTGGAGGAGAAAAAACCTTTTTGTCCAGGGCTAATCTAATTTGATCTGCTAATCCCTGAAGAAAAGTAGAAAGCCATTTCCACTCTTGATTTCTAAATGTGCTAAATCCTGAATGACAACGCTTCCCAACTGCTGCCAGAAAAGAGCCAGGCCATGAAAATTTTATCTACTTTTCTATTTTTTCTTTTCTTTTTTTTCATGTGTAGATTCATCCTTGGAGACAGCAACAAGCGTCTCATAATGAGAGACTAGCGACCGAGAAAGAGCCAACCAATGATGAGTCCAGAAACCTACGGAGACGAAATGCCATTTGGAGGCATTTCGTCTAACAAAAAACCTCGTCATCAAACCACTTACATGTAGTTTCGGAGAAGTATGGAAAGTGCTTTGCCGGTGTGAAAACATCTTATGTTTCAAAACTGGGTTGAATGAAATGAAGTGTGCCTTAGAGAGAGCGGAACGTATTAGGTGTATCCATTATGTAATTAGTTTACACTGTTGACATTTCAAGAATAGCGTAGTTTAATGAACAATTAATAAAAAGTAATCATACATGTATATCCCCGCCAGTGGAAATATCGCCTTTGAATATTTTTTGCAAAACATTTAAAGTCTGATCAAATTGTACATACGGATGAAAATAAGTGAAGCCCATAATTATTTTGTTCACTTGTGTACGTTTTAAAAGGTTTTGTCTCTCTTTCTTAACTTTGGAACCTGTACAAAAATAGCCATTTGTTTGTTTTACCGTTCATGCTAAGTAGTCGGGAAAAATACACACGTAAATTTAGAAAGTTTATCACACAAAAGAGCTGTCTGTATACGTATCCATGTGTGTTCTTTTTATTCCATATTCACTGAATTTCATCGTATCGATCAGAGTTTTCTTTTGCCAAAAATTACACCATGGTGCCATTGTTAATTTACGGTGTGGTGATGATCACCGGCTATAATGTTAAATGCGACTTTCCATCATAGTTAATATTGGTTTCGAATTCTTTTTTGGGGGTGGAAACAGGTTACTCTCTGCGGTGTACATACTTTTTGAGTCGTTAATTATCTTTCTAAAATAAATTTGTAGAAACAATTTTGATGTGATTTGTTTCAATTTTTACCTTCAATTCCGTGGCCAGAATAAAGAGTGAAGAGAAATGTCCGTTTACCCATTATCATCGTTTCAGGGGCCATCATTATTAAAAACAAATCATTAATGAAGATTAAACATTTCCTCCCCCAGAAACGGCTGCACTGCAGGCGCGCGGGGAATTGGAATTGAAGTCATTACAGTGTTCATGCAGTGTAGTTAAAACGGTAGTATTGATTTCTGCGAATTGTAGGTATGCGGCTTGAAATGATACGTGCAAGTTGCAACTAAGGAAATAATTGTGAATCCGGCAGCTTGCGGGGTCCATAGGCTCGTGTTTGCCGCATAATTTGGACATTGCCTAAGGTTCGCTTCTGTGGTAAGTTTCCTTAGCTCGCTTCATCCTCATGGTTCCATCGAAGGCCCCTTGAATCTCCCAAGATTTAAATAGATACTATCGGTTACAAAACACCTAAAAGACAAAATTGATCAGAATAAACCTAAGAAATTAGGAAAGGGAAAAGGGAAGAAGTGACGCCAACCCCAAGATTAAAACCACTGTTTCGCAAAAGAGGGCGCTGTTTGCATTTCCAATTGGTCTAGGTTCTGTACGCCAATAAACGGTGGTCGAAGGGTGGTAACGTGCGTTCCCTAGTTATGTGCGCACGTCACCCGACCATCGGGCGGGATTTTACATTCGAACATGTGCACACGAGACGGCCAACCGTTTCATCTCAACTTCTCTGGAATTGAAATGCAAATTAACACAGATATTTCTCTCCAAAAATGTGTGGAATGCGTGAATTTCTTCAACCTCCTGTGCTGTTACACTGGGAGACTTTGCCGGTGTGTGACATGCCTGGTTGGTTTCCCAAGGCGTACGTGTGGTCGTTTTGGGCAAGTCTTGGAAAGGTGCAGGTTTTAGGCCTACCCGCCCGTGGATTGGAACTCCACCACGTGAAGTGCAATTTCACTGTGACGGCGCCCTGGTGCCGTGGCCGTTGCTAGATTCTTAGTTGCCTGGTGCTGATGCTGCTAGGTGAGTTGGACGAATTGTTACTCAGTCACTCAGAAAATAAATCACAAGTATGACTTGTTTACAAAATACAAATAATCACGTAGGCC